ATATATATATTTATTTAATTTTTTTTTTTTTTTAATCAGTCTGGAGAGTAAACAAAAAAATTTACTAGCCAATGGCGATTCAATTGCCAAGGTGTCCGTAGAGGGCTGAAGTGATAGATCTGTTAAGCAATATATTGTGAGAGGGCTGTGTGTCACCACATCCCAGAGACTCAAAATACAGGGCTCCAGACTGCAACCAAATGGTCACATTTTGCGACCATTTTTTTCTGCCTGTGCGATAATTTTGTGTGCAGTTGCACTGGCACGACCATTTCTGTTGCATATGTGAAACATCATACAGCAAACGAAACTGAAAGCATAATGAAACCACACTACTCATTTGAACTGCGCAGCGCTTAGAGTGTAGAGCCTGGTTAATACTTGTTGCGTCAGCAGGAGCGCGAAGGTGCGCGCAGCAAAAATTATACGAATATTGAGGAAACGATGGATGGTTTTCATGCTTATGTAAAGTAAAAGACCGCTTCTTAAACCAGAGAAGGTGAACATGTTGGTATTCTTGTGGGAAAAAAACATGCAAGTACTGTCACTCACAGCAAGTTTAGTTTTACTTTTCTTTTTGTTTTCATTTTGAAAAGCTTATCTATTTACCTCACGTTATGCTATGGAGGCTCTCTTTTATTTATTTTTTTATTTGATTCCTCAGTGTTTGCTAAACATTCTGTAATTTATTAATAGGTACATAATACAGCATGTGGTGTATGCCATGCTGTATTATGCTAGTATGTCATTGTATCTTACCGTTTTATTGTTGTGCTTTTTAATTAAAGGGGTCATAGGATGCTACATGCACATTTACAAGTTGTTTGAACTGAAATGTGTGTTGGCAGTGTGTGTACACAACCACCATATAATGATAAAAATCCACCCAGTGTTTTTTTTTTTAATCTGGTTAAATGTTTTCCCCTTTCTCAAATCGAGCCGATCTCAGATGCCTGTCTGTGTGACGTCACACAGACAGGCCCCTCCCACGATAGTTTGATTGACAGTAGCGTTTCAGCACAGACTGGACTGGTGTCTTACCTCAGACCCACCCTGAGTGAGCTGTCATCAGTCCGCCATTGTTTCACCGCCGGAGCAGATGTAGACAAGAATGACTCCTAAGCGATTGAGGTGTTCTGTTGTTGGATGTAATAATGAACATAGCAGTCGACATTTACTCCCGATATCTGAGCCACTGAACTCTCAGTGGATTACACTGTTTCTGAAAGGAATGCGCCCCCGATCTACATAAATGCGTCTATGTGCGCGCAAATCATTCATGATCCAGCCTAATCTACAGACGAAGTGAGTATAATGTTTTGTAATGAATCTTTGCAAATCACCTTTCCTAATAATGTGCTAATTAGCAAGTCTCACGATGAATGCGGCTAAAGTAAACAGTCTCTCTGAGAGCAGCTCGGAAGAGAGGGG